CGCTCCATCACTCCTGGATACATAAAGGGTCTCTCAGTGGTTTCCTTGTGTTTCCTAAAGCATTAATGCTGGAGGTCATGAAAAGCTCATTTGGAGGATTTAGTGCAGTCATTTCCAGGCATGAAAGAATTAAGGTCATTTTATATAGAAAGAGGGTGGGGGAGAATACAGCACCACACTAGGGCTAATAGATGGAATTTCAGGAAAATTGTCATTTTGTGCTTTTTTCATAGAAGTTACAGGCTGGAGACAGAACACTCTCCCTGTCTAAGAGTCAAAAGCAGTTTGAAAGCGGAATTGATGATGTGGTGAATATTTATTTATTTTATTTATATCCCACCTTCCCTTCAACGAGCTCAAGGTGGCATACACGGCTGTCCCCCTCCCCAGGGTGGCTGGTCTTATCCCACCTCACTCTGTCTAGGGCCAGCAGGGGCTGATGGAAGTTGTAGTAAAAAATATCAGCAGGGCACGAGGACAGCTGCTGTAAACTCTATAGTATTGAATTGCCTCTACCTGTTCTGGAGGCTAGGAGCCGAACCAATGGATTCAAGTTACAATAAAGAAGATTCTGACTAAACATCAGGAAGAATTTTCTGACAGTAAGAGCTATTCAACAGTGGAACAGACTTCTGCAAGAGATGGTGAACCATGGGTCAGCAAACTCAGGCCCTGGGGTCAGATCCGGCCCAACGGCCTTCTAAATCTGGCCCGTGAACGGTCTGGGAATCTGCATGTTTTTACATGAGTAGAATGTGTGCTTTTATTTAAAATGCATCTCTGGGTTATTTGTGGAGCATAGGAATTCATTCATTTTTTCCCTTCAAAATATAGTCCGGCCCCCCACAAGGTCTGAGGGGCAGTGGAAAAAGTTTGCTGACCTCTGTGGTGGACTCTCCTTTCTTGGAGGTTTTTAAGTACAGTATATAAATCAAACTCAAAACAGCCTAGTAGGTATCTGCATTAAAGTTGTTTGCAATGTGCTCTAAGTGGGGCATCCCTTGGGGCTTAACTTGGAAACTACAGCTGGTATAGAATGCAGCAACTAGGTTGTTGACTGGGGCATTTCTTTAACACCGTATGACACTGAGAGTGCTGCACTGGATGCCAATATGCTACCAGGAACATTTCTCTTTGTAAACTACTTTGAGGTTTTTTTTAAACAGTCAACTGGTGTATCAATTTTATGAAATGAAAAGGAACATTTCAAGGTTTCTACTTTTAGCATTGGGACCAACTTACCTAAGGGACCGCCTCACCCAATATATACCTGCCTAGCAACTGCAATTCTCAGACAGGCACTCTTGAGGGTGTGCTTAGCTTGCCCTAGAAACTAGGATTTCAGGATTGTAAACCCAGCCCCTGCAATCAATTACCAGCCAGAATTGCACAGGTGCATCACATCATGTTGTTTAGCTCCCTAATTAATACCTTTTTAGGCTTTCCTTGATGGCTGACCCAGTCACTTACACAATACTGATTGCCTGTTTGCAAAAACAGTTTTGTTGTTTTATAGAATTGGTAAGATGGGGTTTTAGAAATGATTTTATTGCTTTTAGAAATGGGTTTTGTGTTTTATCCTGTACACTGCTCCAGCGGCTTCTGTTAACTAAGTAACTAAATGCTTAGTGGGAAGGAGAGAATGTAGATTAAGGACCTAGCCAGACATCCTTGTTACTGAGCATTCATTATCATTCGGTGCTCATGGCAGTATCAGGGAAGTTATATATGATCCTGCCTTCAGTATTGTTTACACCTGCAGAACTCTTGGGGCAAGTGTCCTGTTTTGTTTTGTCCTGCTTTTGTTGTGCTATTGAGCAAGGGTGCTCCTCTGGACGACAAAATGCAGTAACACTGGGGAAGCTTCACAGAGAATATAATAAAACAGAATGGTACGTGAACGGTCCAGTATAAACCTATACTCTTAAACTATGGTGCCCAGAATTAGTTCAAGGAAAGAATGTGCTTGAACGTGCTTTAATGATATATAGTGTGTACACAGCATAGCTATCAAGATTTCCCTTTTTTAAAGGGAAATTCCCTTATTCCGAAAAGGATTCCTCACAAGAAAAGGGAAAAGTTGACAGCTATGGTACACAGTCTACGGAGGACGCGAGTGGTGCTGTGGGTTAAACCACGGAGCCTAGGACTTGCTGATCAGAAGGTCGGCGGTTCAAATCCCCGCAACGGGGTGAGCTCCCATTGCTCGGTCTCAGCTCCTGCCCACCTAGCAGTTCGAAAGCACGTCAAAGTGCAAGTAGATAAATAGGTACCGCTCCGGCGGGAAGGTAAATGGCATTTCCATGCACTGCTCTGGTTCACCAGAAGCAGCTTAGTCATCTGGCCACATGACCCGGAAGCTGTACGCCGGCTCCCTCGGCCAATAAAGCAAGATGAGCACCGCAACCCCAGAGTCGGCCACGACTGGACCTAATGGTCAGGGGTCCCTTTACCTTTACACAGCCTACAGTTTCATCATCCCTGATCATTGGCTGCACTGGCTAAGCCTGGTGGGACCAGGAGTCTGACAACTTTTGAAGTGTTACTTGAACCACACCCCTGCCCTAAAGGGAAGGAATCCACAGAAATAAAAAAGGTATCAAGAAAGGGTGAGTGGTGAAAGAGATATTACACCCATTCTCCCCCAGACCTGTCAGCCTCAGCACTGTAGGATGCCAGTGTCATTCAGGGCACACTGATTGGAGAGTGCATAGGCTAGCATGCTGTCTCCTCCTCCAATCAGCAGGCCCAAAGAACTAGGCTAGGAGGGGCCTACAGTGGCATTTTATCCCTCCCCCTGACAACTGCCTGTGCTTGTTTAGGGAGGCCCTCTCACTCTGAGAATCAAGGCTTCAAAATAAGTTATGAAACCATGGAAAGTGCAAGTGGGACAGAGCATCGTCCTTGGAGCACAGCATAACTGCTCCTGATCATCTGGGCAACTAGGAGCATGTTGCTTCCTGCAAACTTATCCTCCTACTTGCAAAATTTGCTTTGTGTGTGTGTGTGTGTGTGTGTATGTGTAAACAAAAATGACAGTCCAAATACTAACAGGAAAAGACCAAGGAGTTACACGTGGAGCCTACCCAGGGTAAGACCACACAGAGCTCCAACTCTCATGTACAGAAAAAGTGAGAAACCCGTGGACCTCCAAATGTCGTTGGACTAAAGTTCCAACAATCCCTGACAATTGCCCATACTGGCTGGGGCTGGTGGAACTTGCAGCCCAAGAACATCTAAAACAGGGAAGGGGAACCTGTGTCCCTCCAGATGCAACCCAATGCCATGTCCCATCACATCATCAATGGTCAGGGATTATGGAAGCTGGAACACAGCCACCTCTGGAGGGTTACAGGTTAGGCCCACACACTCCCTGATGTGCAGGATAGTTAACCTGCTCTCATCTCTACTGCTTAGGTGGCAATCCTTGGTCTCTCTCCCCCATCCCATTCTTTCTCAACTCCCTTTGAATGGGTAAAAGTAAGAGGCCTATAGAGGGGCTAGGAAATATTTTTTCAGTGCAAGGGCCACACACCCTTGCAGGGAGTCACCTGCTGTTGGTGGGTGGGGTCAGAGGCAAAAGCAGATGGAACAATGTATGTTAATGTGCCTTTGTACAGCGGGTTAGATTCTCTGCACACCCCTCCGTCTCTAGACTCCATCGAGACAAGCAAGAGCCATTACCAGAGTTTAAGGACATGTTTCCATCAGCCCTAGCTAGCATGGCCATGCTGGCTGGGGATGATGGGAGCTGTGGTCCAGGACATTTGGAAGGACACCAAGTTGAAGACTGTTTTCTGTTGTATTTTAACGATTCCCCCCCCCCCACCTTTCATATGCTACTGTGATTTTAAAATAACTGTAAGGCACACTGAGCAGTACATAGGCCCTAGAAATGGAGAATACACATTTCTTTCTTTATGAAAATTCCAGACAGACAACAACACTCACAAGGGTGCGAAGCAGGGCCAGAAAGAGTTGTGGCTTGGGAGAGAGGGTGTGGCACAGGAGAGTCCCAAGGGCCAGACAGAGAGGCCTGGAGGTCCTCAGGCTTCCCTGACTCTGAGCTTACCACAAATAGGCGCAATATGTTGATGGGGCTCCCAGCGCTAGAGCCTGGTCAGACGAAGGACATTTCTATGTTGGGTGCATGCAGTTTCTATATTTCATCCCATGCTGGCACTAAATATGTCTTCTGTAGCATTAGAAATGATTAAGGGACATCTGGCAAATGTACAGGGCCTTCCCCTCTCCTCTCAGGACTGCACCTTTCAGATACTTCAGGTTAGTTCGATATTACACAGAAGTTCTGCTCTTCCTCTGCTCCACTGCTCAAACCTTCTCTGTGGCCTTAGCTAGAGCCACCATGACTTGCTAGGCCCTGGCAGCACAACCTATTTGCCAGTACCCTGAATTCAGTCCTCTCAAATGAGGTTAGGTTCCCACAAATGGCAGTCCTGAGCGTGGGCAGAATACTTCCCCCTACACTACAAACAGGAGACCCCGATGCCCAAACCTGAAGTCATAAACCCTTATTAGCAACGACAAATTAGAAAGTGTATGTCACAATCCAAGATGCAAAGGTCTTGGGGAAAGAAAGGGGGCGGCTGGAGTTAGCTGATGGGAGAGGCTCTCTGCACATGCTCAGAAACTCTTCATCATCCCCAAAAGATGTTCTCTGCACATGGTCAGATGCCCTTTGGTTGAATATTCACACCCAGGGCCTAGACTGTAGACCCAAAAACATACACACAAAAATGTGTTTTGGAACCTGCCACCTTGGTTCTGGGTCGAGGCCTTCTGTAAACCCGAGTTCACATTAACTGTCCCCTGCTTGCACATCTGGGGTTATGGGGTAGGAGGAAGCTCCTCGGCCCCAATCTCCGGGCAGGCCACCTGAGTCATAGACACGCAGCTCTCTCCCTTCCAGAATCAGCCCCAGCGAGGGGCGGCTTCCCCTTCCCCTCCCCTCCTCGCCCTCTTCGTCCGGGCCGCCTCACCTCCAGCTTATCCGTCAGCTCCTTGTGCATCCTCTCGTACTGGCGGCTCATATCCTGGTTGCGCTCCAGCAGCGCCTTCCCGAGCCGCGCTGCTAACAGCAAATCCTTCTCCTTCTGCCTCATCAGGGAGAGCAGCTCCGGCTGCGGAGCCGCCTCCGCCGGGCCCATGGACTCGGGCTCCCCGGGCGCAGCATCCCCGGCGGCGGCTAGCAGAGCCAGCTCTTCCTCCAGCTCCAGCTCTCCTTCCGAGCCGCCCACCTCGAAGGCCGAGGAAGAGGAAGCGGCGGCGGCGGGCCCGGTTGTGGGCGAGCTCCGGCTGTCCTTGGCTCCCCCCTCCGACGTCGACTGGGGCGGCCCTTGCAGTTCCATGCGGCAGGCGCTGTCCAGTTCCGATGGTGCTGAAACGGGCCCCAAGCAGAAAGCGGACATGGCCGGGCCCCGGGCCACTCCAGGCTACGAAAGCCAGCGGAGCAGGGAGCCCGGAGCCCGCAGCGGGGAGGGAGCCGCGTTTCTCCTCTCCTGCCTCTTCCGTGCGCCCCTGCGCGGAGGCGAGCCGAGCCGCCCTGGGCTTGCGCGCCGGGGCCGCCGCCGCCTACTCTGTCTCGCCGCCCCGCTGGAGCCGCGCGCTCTCAAGGCGATCGGGACGTCCCTCCCTCGGCCGAGTTAAAGCAGCAGCAGCAGTCGTCGTCGTCGTCGTGGCTTTTCTTCCTGCCGCTGCCGCCGGCCCAGCTTTGCAGCGCCGCTCCCCGAGCCCCATCTCCGCCGAGGCGCCTGCAAAACATCGCGCGGCCCCGGGAAGCTCGCGGAAGGCCGCCGCCGCCGGCTGCTGCTGCACAAACAGCCAGCCGACTCGCAAGCCCGGCCCCGCCGCCCCGCCCCTCGCCCCTGACGGCAGCAAACACCTGTTTGGCGGCCTGCTCTGATTCGCTTAGCCCGGTAGCTCCACACAAACTGGCCCACAGGTGCGGCCCCCTCCCCACCTCCCTGCCTTGACTTAACCCCCTGCATGCCCGGGAACTTTCCCTTCGCTCTTCTTGGCCTGGGCTGGCGCTGGGCCCAATTGTTTGATTTGCTAAGAAATTATCTCTTGCAGCTTCTGCCTTCTGGAAGAAGGTACTGTACAGGGTTATAAAGACTAGGACTAGCCGCCTGAGAAACAGTTTCTATCCAAATGTGATTTTGGTTTGAAATGCAGTGTACTCTCTGTGGGAGTATACTGTATTTAAAAATGGGGTATCAGAGTTTTTAGGGGGCTAACCCGGTTGGGATAGCTGGCATAGCAGGTTTTTGAATGTCTTATGTAGATTCTTTTCAATTTCGTTGTTCTGTATGGGACAATGACAATAAAGATTATTGTATCATATTTGTAGGCAGCTGCATCAAACAGCACATCTCTAAGGGCATTGCTCTTCTGCTCTCGCCAGCAGACTCTGCGTTCAGGAATCCGGCATATTGGAGCGGACCCCTATAAAACGTCTCCTCAGAAGTAAGGCCCATGCAGTTCAATTACATCCCAGGTGGGTGGTGATAGCCTCTGGCTGCAATCCTAAAGGCGCTGGTTGGAGAGTAAGTCCAATTGAATTTGGCAGGATTTACTTCTCAGTAAACTGAGCTTCCGTTTGTGGTGTTAAATAGCTTCCCTCCCACACCTTCTTCACAGCCACTATAACGAATTAGCAGATCCTCCCTGAATTCAAGGAAGGGTCCCCTGGCAACTTAAAAGACTTCAGTGTTGTAGCGAACTAAGTTCTATTCAGAGTAGACCGGCTGAAATTAATTGGATCCAAGTTGCTGTTTTTACTACTACTAATAATAATAATAATTATAATACTACTAATAATTATACTAATTATTGGGATGCAGGTGGCGCTGTGGGTTAAACCACAGAGCCTAGGACTTGCCGATCAGAAGGTCGGCGGTTCGAATTCCTGCAACAGGGTGAGCTCCCGCTGCTCGGTCCCTGCTCCTGCCAACCTAGCAGTTTGAAAGCACGTCAGAGTGCAAGTAGATAAATAGGTACCGCTCTGGCGGGAAAGTAAACGGCGTTTCCGTGCACTGCTCTGGTTCACCAGAAGCGGCTTAGTCATGCTGGCCACATGACCCGGAAGCTGTACGCCGGCTCCCTTGGCCAGTAAAGCAAGATGAGCGCCGCAACCCCAGAGTCAGTCATGACAACCTAATTACCTTTTACTAATAATTATTATTTTATTTCTTGGGACACGGGTGGCGCTGTCGGTAAAGGTAAACGGCGTTCCGTGTGCTGCTCTGGTGCTGGTTCGCCGGAGCAGCTTCGTCACGCTGGCCACGTGACCCGGAAGTGTCTGCGGACAGCGCTGGCTCCCGGCCTCTATGAGATGAGCGCACAACCCTAGAGTGTCAAGACTGGCCCGTACGGGCAGGGGTACCTTTACCTTATTATTTTATTATTTATACTCCATCCATCTGGCTGGGTTGCCCCAGAGACAAATTTGATCTGTTAGTTACTCAAAGGTCTCCAAGCAACTTACAGTACTGTTAAAACACAATCAGGAAAAAAAACCCACAACAGTCACAGGAAACTTTAGTAGCAGACTATTAACAATGTCAGAAATTAATAAACATAACTCCCTCTGAAGGAGGCTCAGAGGGTGGCAGTGACCCTGAAGCAGAGCGGTGGGGGGGGGGGGCATTTTTCAGTTGTGGCTTTCCATTTGCAGAATGTATTCCCCAGCGAGGAGGTGCCTTCTTTGAAATCTTTTCTGGCACAAGTTCCTCTTGCACACCCTTTTCTCCAGCAGGCTCCTGAGGGGCAGAGAGATCAATTAGCAGCACTTATTGTATGCCCTTGGGCACCTCCATTTTGTCCTCTACAGCAGTCTCCCAGGAAGTGGTGAAATCAATCGGAAGCAGCTCTGCCTGCCAGCCCTTCTTCTCTTGTACAGTGGTACCTCAGGTTAAGAACTTAATTCGTTCCGGAGGTCCATTCTTGACCTTAAACTGTTCTTAACCTGAAGCACCACTTTAGCTAATGGGGCCTCCTGCTGTCGCCGTGCCACATGATTTCTGTTCTCATCCTGAAGCAAAGTTCTTAACCCAAGGTACTATTTCTGGGTTAGCGGAGTCTGTAACCTGAAGTGTCTGTAACCTGAAGCATCTGTACACCCTTTCCCACAGCAGGCTGCCTGGAAGTAGGAAGATTGATCAGTAGCCCCTCAGCTCTAGGTCTCTTTGGATGCCTGGAAACTCGGATTCTAGGTCATTTTGAACCCATTGCAAGGTTATCACCTCACATGGAGTCTCACTTTGCTATCCAGTGAGGCTTCTCACTCTGCTCATCCACTCTGGTTGTGGTTATTTTGTTATGTTGAACAGCTCTCTACCATTTATGTGACTGCAGAAGCTGCTCCAGCCTTTGGTTACTTCACTGCCTATACTGCTCCATTTGCCGATTGTGGTGCTCCTTTCATCCACTTGAACTGCTCAAGGGGTGCTGCTGCTTCTCCCTCCATTTTGACTTCAGGCACACTTTGCTTCTTGGCCCTTTCCACCAGGGAACACAGATCCCGCTACTGACACGAAGGTTGAATGCCACTTCCAATCTCTTCCAATCTTGTAGTAGCGAGATTTCAGGAGGTTTCACGTGCTTACCCAGGGTTGTTTCCATTGGGAGTCAACACATGGCCAAGACTGTGGTGTCTTAAAGAAGTATGGTTTACTTTACACATATTTACACCTGGGTGTAGATGGAGCGAGTGCAGGGTTTACAGCATTCAAATCTCAAAAGGGGCTTGTTCCCCACAAGCTGTGCAGCATCAGATTCCAAGACATCTCCATGCCTCTGTCCCGGTCTCTCTTCAGCCAGCCCACCAAGATGGTTCTGACTCTTATTTTCCCTTCAGTATCCCCAATATTATCTAAATTCTACCATTTTACTAATTTCTAGCATTCACTAATTCTAGATCTGCAAAATAATAATTTGAGTCATCCTCCAACTCGCCCTGTCAGAAGTCTGGCCACAGCATCATAGGCCAGTTGCAGTTTCTGAATTCTGTTCCAGAGCAACCCCATGTAAAGCCCCAATAATTCAGCCTACAGTAATTCACACACTCCAGTCACTGCTCTTGAAGTGAAAGATTTCCCCACATTGATTTTCTATGTCTGTAGACTCTGAAGCAGCCACAGACAGTTTGTTCTGCTCGAACTCAATTTGTCTTTCACAGAGCCTATGAGATTGTTTCCAGCCTCTCTCCTTTCTCTTCACCAAGAGGAAATGAGCATCCACAATATTACGCCTTCTGCTGGTAGAGCCCGTTATAATCCTCCTGGCCTGATTAGCAAAAGCCACTGTGCTGTTAGCATTAATCTCTAATGCCTCTTTCCAGAGCATGGCACACAAAGGGATTATATGGAGCAGGATTTAATCCACTCCAAACAAAGCCATGCCCCAAAACTGTTGGAGCTCAGAGGACTGGGTGGGAGAAAGGGCATACCCACCTCCCCACATATGTCAGTGTTGCTTTCGCACCTTCCTTGCACATAAGTGAATACACACAGACACAGACACATGGCTTCTGTCTAGTTCCACTCAAGTGCATTGGCTTGCAAACCCAGAACAATGTGCTCACCCCTGCCCCAGACATGCCAGCCCATCCCCCACCCCATGTCCCACTTCACATGCTCCCTCTGTCGGATATTAATGCTTTGTTTACTTCAAGGTCATCCATTAATCTCCAGTTCAGAAACAACTCTGTCATCGTCCTCTGAATTAAATTATTGAATGCCATTTCCAGAAGCAGGCTGGGAGCTTGCTTTGAACTCCTTCATGTCATCATCCAGCCATTGACTGTGGTATGCACAGAAGCAGATCAAAGTAGTGCACCGATCCAAATCTATGAATGAAAGCCATTCAATTGAGGGCAAATATGAATGCATTGGAAGCTGTCCATGAAACTGTCTCTTGCTACATCAGTCATCCTAAATTATTTTGAGCTGTATACCCTGCAACCCACTGGCCGGCCAGGACATTAGAAGAAGTGAGGCAGGTGGAAAATGCTGGGAAATGGCAGGAAGATGTTGGAGCACACAATAGTGTGAGCCACACAGCCTGTCTGGCATCCCGCAAATGATGTTGCTACCACAGAACTAACAGCTACTGCACCTTTCCTGGAGGAAGTATATTAGTGTAATTCCCTTCTCCCACCTGTAGAGGGTTAAGGCATGAGCACTCAGGTGACACCGCTCCCCTCTCCATCAGCAACACCTGCTAAGCATCCAAGGCAAAGGACTGCAAGCTTCAGCTGCTGCTAAGTGCTCACTTCTCTCAGTAGTGGCTGGTGCTCATTGAGACTGGTAGGGTGAAATGCAAGGAGCCCAGATTGTGGGCAGAACCAGAGACAACAGACAGAGCCAACTAATACTAGTTTCATTCATTATCAGAGTTCAAGGACACATCCCAGTCAGGTAAAAATACTCAGGGGGAGGGGAGAGAGAGAGAGTTCTGAGGGCAAACTAGACCATGGGTAGGCAAACTAAGGCCCAGGGGCCAGATCCGGTCCAATCGCCTTCTAAATGCGGTCCGGGAATCAGCGTGTTTTTACATGAGTAGAATGTGTCCTTTTATTTAAAATACATCTCTGGGTTATTTGTGGGGCATAGGAATTCGTTCATCCCCCCAAAAAAATATATATAGTCCAGCCCCCCACAAAGTCTGAGAGACAGTGAAAAAGTTTGCTGACTCCTGGACTATACCAAGATGATAAAGGGTCTGGAAAACAAACCTTATGAGGAACAGTTGAGGGAACTTGGCATGTTAGCTTGGCAAAGAGGAGATACGCAATGTTCTTATATCTAAAAGGCTGTCACAC